TCAGAAAAAGTTGGCTTAAAAAGAGGAGAAGGAAGCTAAAACATCTTGTTTCAGATATACGCAGTGAGAAAAATACAGCTTATTTGATTATTGCTGTGAATAATGCAAACCTACTCTAGTAGTATTAGGAGTTCTTAACAGTGAGTGATCTTCTGGCCTTAGTTTTATAGTACTGGCACCACTTCATCTGCACAATAGCTTCTCTTATGGCTTGTAGTGCAGTTTAATTTGTTCCAACAATATTACACACACTGCTGAGTGCGTTCAGAGGGTTCTCCAAAAGACTCAGATTGAGACTGCGCTGTTGTAGACTGCATATTTTTTTCAGTTTACTCCCTGAATCAGTTTTATAAAAAGTTGGAATTCCCTTCTGGGAATGGAAAAGTAAAATCAGGGTGACTTCGATTATCCAAGCAAGAACTCCAAGTTTTCTAGTGGCTGCAGTTCAGTGGAAGAAAGCTTGTTAGTGCGTATGATACACATAATTTGCAGCGTGTCGAGCAGCTCCAGACTGTACAGTTTATTCTCAGCAGAGTTGTGTGTCGCTGGCGGCTGTTCCTGCCGTGGTGAGGCAGTAATTTATTCATTGAACAGGTGAAGGCGGTGAGGAGTGGGCTGGTTTCTCCTCGCCTAATGAAAACTCAAATCCCTCTGACTCCTGTAAATTGGTTAGGAGGTGTCAAGTGTCTCCCAACGCACCCTTACACTCCCTTCCTCCCCTCCCAAGCCTCATGTCTCTCTCTCACACACACACACACACACACACACACGCACAGACACAAACACACAGATAAGGTTGTCTCGCTGCAGACTGCAGGGACGTGACACTTTGATCTTCAAGCTCCTGGCCTTCGGTGACACACATAGCCTCCTGCTTTAGTCTATGACAGACACTCTTATACAGAAACACACATGCACTCATGTCAAGGTGCTCTGAGGTTCGGAGAAAACCCCATCTGTCTGGAAGTCAGTGGCTGTGACATTTAAAATTGATTACAAGGGGAAAATTGATTATGATAATGTCCACTTGTGTTCACTCAGAGTAGAAATGTGGCTTCTCACGCGCTCATAAATCACTACTGTGTCATCTAAAGAACCAAAGAAGAAGAAGCTGGTATGATCTGGACACTTTGTGCTCAGGTTGTCCTCAGAATGATGCCATAGTTTGGGGATTATTAGTACTGGAACAACTCTGAGCAATTATAAGATTATGTGCTAGCAAACACTTCAGCATTGAAAAACAAATGGCTGAATATCTTTTCTCAACATTTAATCTTGTTAAAATAAATTGTAAAAATAAATTTGCGCTGGTGTTGAAGACTTTACCTCTTTTACAATCCTTCTTGTTTTTTAATATTTGAGCCCAGAGAGGCGATGGTTACGTATAGACTCTATACAACATGTCTCATTCATCCATTCACACTGTGACTGCTTATATTACTGCTGCAGTCTTTATCTCGCAGGGTAGAATAGCTCATCCTCTTCCAAACGATTGTAGTAATAGCTGCATTGCAAAATAAAAGTTGGGAAAACTGTAGCGGATTTCTGTCCCTTGTGGTGATGCTGTAACACATGCCTACACTCACAGAGGGAGTGTAAAGAGCCTGTAAGAAAATGCTCCTGTGAATGCCTCTGGCTCTCTCTGGAAGTTCTGTGACATTACGTAGACACCTTGCGGCTATGAAACCTCTTTGTTTAATGTCATTTCCACTTTCCCACATTTGATTGCGTTGCTAATTTGGCAGGCATGCCTGAGATCGCTCCAACTTTCAGATTTAGGATTGGTAAAGTAGGCGCATTCATTGAATTAAGATGAGAGGTAAAGAGATGGGAGGTAAAGACAGGAGCTTTACCTTTCATGTACCCAGGATTTTAACATCAGATACAGCAGTTTTTACGTTAATCAGTTCGTGATGTGTAGAGTAAAAAGATGAAAATGTCTACCTGGTGCTGGGGTGATTACTTCAAAAATGTAATGGGTGAAGAAAAAAGGGGGAAAAAAGCGTAATTTAAAAAAAATATATATAGTCACATTTCATTTCTAGAATAATAAAAAAAAATCAGTTCTCCTTATATAATGCCAATTCACTGCAATTATTTTGTTTCTTCCCTTTAATTAGTCGACAGACTTTACTTGAATAGAGCTCCATGAGACTAAAGAAACAGTGACACTCGTTTAGTGTACTAGTTGAGCATAAAACAACTTATCCACAAAACTGAACATGAATTTTTGATTCGTTTTCAAGTACGTCATTAATCATTTAGTCACACTCTATTTGCCACGAAGCATTCGATTCTGGACTTGTTTTCGACGTGGCGCCAACCTGCATGTTATGAACACACCCTAAAATAACAACAAATTTAAAAAACACGTGCTAACAAGCGCTAAGAGCAATATCTGACTTGTATTTTTGTCTCACCCACGACTTTTCTCAGCTACCCACCCAAAGAGCTTCACACCACGCAATTATGTTTAAAGCACCACCGAGCACCTGAGCGCTCTACCTCACCCCATGTCTTTTGCGCTTCGTCTTTAATCTCTCCTAGCGCCACTTTGTAACCTCCCTTGTAATCTTCCCTGCAGCCTTCAGTCACTCTGAGTCAGACTTGGGTCATGGGAACTCACAGCTGCTTGCTTGGCCCCATGCAGATGACAGACAGCGAGCTCCATCTCGGTTTGTTTGCTGATGCACGTGAAAAAAAAGGGAGAGGGGGGAAAAATAGCCCTGCACCTGAAACAATCCACAGTTTGAGTTTGTTGCTGTGGGACAGTGGAGTCCATCTCTTCAGGAAAGTAGGGCATAGTGTGCAGGCATGCTGGGCTTTCACACGCATTATACACATAAACCTGCAGTTTAGCACTCAGCAGATTGTGACATTTACTGTATCTGGTATTATTTAACACAGAAATCCAAATTTAATCCTCATTTCTGTGGATGACAGACAATCCAAAGAAAGGCATAGTAACCATCCTGAACATGCAAACCCAAACAACAGATGGAGTAATAGAGTAGTATGCATCCATCAGGCATAACATTATGACCGCCTGCCTAATACTGTGTTGGTCCCCCTTTTGCTGCCAAAACACCCGTGACCCATTGGACATGGACTCCACTAGACTTCCTAAGGTGTGCTGTGGTATCTGGCAGGAAGATGTTACCAACAGATCCTTTAAGTCCTCTAAGTTGTGAGGTGGGGCCTCCACGGATTGGACCTGTTTGTTCAGCACATCCCACAGATGCTCAATTTGACTGAGATCTGGGAAACTTGGAGGCCAAGTCAGCACCTCAAACTCATTGTTGTGCCCCTCAAACCATTCCTGAACCATCTTTGCTTTGGACGCATTATCCTGCTGAAAGAGACCACAGCCATCAGGGAATACAGTTCCCATTAAAGGATGTACATGGTCTGCACCAGTGCTTAGGGAGGTTGTATGTGTCAAAGTAACCAGGCCACCTTCTTCCATTGCTCTGTGGTCTAGATGGTGGACAAGGGTCAGCGTGGGCATCCTGACTGATCTGCAGCTTTGCAGCCCCATGTACAACAAACTGTGTATTCTGACACCTTTCTATCAGAACCAGTATTAACTGCTACAGCAGCTCATCTGTTACAACAACAACAACAGACTTTATTTATATAGCACATTTAAAAACCAGTGGTGTACCAAAGTGCTTAACATACAAGAGAGTAAGATGAGGTAACAGGGAGGATAAAGGCTATGGCGAAGTACCAACATGGTAGCATGTTAAATGGCATTAAAAACACAAAAGTAAAGGAAATGTATATAAAAGCATAAAAGAACAATATATGTAAAGGATAAAACAGTCAGGAATTTTAAAAATGATTAAAAGTAGTTCAGAATAGACCGAAGATAGAAATAAGCATTAAACTAACTAAGAAACAATCATTAACCGGTAGAAAAGGCGAGGCTAAATAAGCGCAATTTGAAGGATTGAATGGAATCAGACTCGTGCATAGTGATGGGGAGGTTATTCCATAGATCCGAGGCAAACGCTCGGTCACCTCTAGTCTTCAGCTGGGATCTCGGCTTTACCAAAAGTGACTGGGAAGATGATCTTAGTACTCTAGCGGGGGTGTATAATCTAAGTAGCTCAATACTACTATTATACTTAGACCACATGCATCAAAGACTCTTGGTCACCACTGTTCCTTCTTTGGACCACTTGTGATAAATACTAACCACTGAGGACCAGGAACACACCACAAGAGCTACAGTTTTGGAGCAATCATCTAGCCTTTGGAATTTGGCCCTCGTCAGACTGAAATCCCTAGGCTTGCCTGTTTTTCCCACTTCTAACACATCAACCACTATAGGTGCCATGATGATAAGTGTTATTCACTTCACCTGTCAGTACTCATAATGTTATGCCTGATCGGTGTATGCGTTCCTAGACATTTAAAACAAGTTGGGACACAGTTTCCTGTGGGGGATTTCAGTGGAGAAGGCAAGAAAATTATATTTCCCCATTGGAGATCAATATAGTCTATTTAACCGCCTTTTGGCAAGTCATCAAAAACCTGCCAGCTCTGGGGGTGCTGACCTTCCAGAGAATCCGGAAAAAAAGAGAGAAAAATATAAAGAATGTAATTAGGAGAATGTCTATCTGACTGAACTTGAAAGGATCATATGGAAACTGTGTGTTGCTACTTTCCAGGTGAATGCTTTCTTTTTTGAATGATCAGGTTGCTGCCCTTTTTAACTAGCCCTGGTTACACGGAAGGTAATCAGTGACAGCAGTGTGGGAACAAAACAAATTTTCCCACCGCTTCTCACCTTCTGTGCCAAATATGTGTGTGTGCCAGTTTCTGAAAGCAGTCTTCCGTGTCTGTTCGTATCTGGGTTTCTGTGTAAACTCACTGTCGTGTGCCATGTCTACATCATGAACTGGGCACGAGTCTGAGCAGAAAAGTTGATTGTGATGTTTCCGTATTAGTGCACCCCGTGATGACCTCTGTCTCTCCTCCTCTCTGTGTTTCAGCGAGCGTTCACTGTGATAGTGGAGGCGTGGGACAGGGACAACGGCACACACAGCAATGGTAAGGTCCACCTTTCAGTGTTCTTTCCATCGTTTCCATCTATCTCAATGATGAGAAAGTGACATTTAAGCTTTTTTAAATCTTTAAATAATCAAGAAAATAAATTATTATCAGCTGACTTCTTTTTGTTTGGATGGTTCAAGGGGCATAAATGCATACTTGCACAGTTCATTTATGATAAACTCACTGAACATTGTCAAGACATCAGCACAGACAGTGTGAACTGGAAAGATCAAATCTACTTGTGAAGCTTCTAACCGACCTGCCTGCCAGCACCAGATTTCTTTAGTACACAGCTGTATCCTGTTTACACACTTCTGGTCTCAGTTCTGTTTGGTTTTGTTTTCCAGCACCATAGTGAGGAAGGTTATTCGAAGGATGCAATCTACGTTAGGAGGCAACGCTTCGTTAGCGTTGTTGGCTTTATTTTCCCGGAGTTGATTCAGGACCCGGTTCATTTAGTGCCAGGGTTCTCAAGGTGTGTCATGTGGGCCGATGACGGCTCTGGGGAGCTGCTGTACATTTCATCCATCCACAAGGGAGCTTTTCTTCTTATTTTTCAGCTTCTTGTTCTAGCTATAAAAATCTTCTTAATATTCACAGCTGGTGTCAAGGAATAAAGAAAAAATGCAATAAAATGCTTATAAACCTTACCAAAAATGGCTGTTCCTAACATAAACCACCGTCACACAAACAGATGCATTAGAACAATTAAAGATGATGTGTCACTCTAAATTTGAAGTTCATTATTAAATCTTGAGAACCCTTGATTCAGTGGCTTTAGCTTCATTTTTGTTGCATGCGTGCAGGAACAGACGCAGTGAGGAGAAAACTCCTTGAGTGAACCATTCAGCTGAAATTCAGTCCAATTTTATTTATATGAGATCAGGAGTGTAGCTGAAGGGAGGCCTGAGTAGCACCACTCCTTTCCCTATTTTCTGGGTGTTGTCAGCCCGTATCCAGACTGTATTTTGTTAGCTACATACGTGATGTTTTTATGCCACAGGAACAGCTCCTTACTCAATACATTAACTTTGTGTTAACTCATGATGGAAGCATTTATAGGTTTTCCCATAGTTAAGCCAAGATTTTACAATGTTAACCAAACAAACAAACACTTAGTGATAGTGGGGAGGAAAAAAAGCTCAAGACGAGTCAGGTCACACAGCCATCAGATGAGACATGAATAGCCGTGCAGACAGTAATGACAGTAAACACTTAGCAGGTCGGTGAGCCAGTAAGTGCAGATCAGACATAAACGCAGAAAAGGAAGAAAGTGAGCAAACCTCGGGCCAGAGAAGATGTAAACTTAATGGGATGCAATACTAGCATATGGATATGGATGCATAGCTTTAAAAGAGAGGAGGTGCTCGTCCATAATGTGAGGATTCCCAAACAGCTTTGGCTTTGTTTGCATCTAATATTGAAGGTAAAATGACCTTTTCACATTAATTTAAATGAAGATGACTGCTATGATCAACCACACACGTACACACAAACTGTGTTACTCTACCCTTCTCGGGGTCACCCAGGCTGTTTATGCCTCTCCTCTATATTAAGTCTGTGAGAGCATTGGCTCGTTAAGCCATTAATTGCAGACCCCCACCCCCACTTTTCGCTACCTCCTAATTAGCATCCTGGCAGCTGTCTGGCTACTGCACGCCACTTTGTTATCACTGTGACAGGCTGCTATGGCTCAGCGTGGACGGTGATTCGAGTACTTTTTAGCTTGCTAGATGTGATGGTGCAGCGGCAGGAGGGGGGTGCTTTACTTATCCCGGGAGGGGAGGCGTGTATTCTAAGGTAGTGACAGGCAGTCAGGCATGCAGGAGGTGCTGATGTGTCGACCGCCGTGTCTTGTCTTGCAGAGTTGGTCTGAGTCTCATTGCATGATCATAGGTTTCAGTCCTGAATCTGTCAGTTAGTCTGTCAGCAGTCGAGGGTCCTGTCAAGAGAGAAAGCTTACAGTTTGGGCTTAATTATAGGTCAAACTGGACAAACTAAAAATAGATATTTAATGATATAATGTGAAGCCACCACAAGTGTCTTTCCAAAGCTGTTTGGGGATTAAGTGTTGACTTCTCGGTGTATCTGTCTACTTTCGCTTGTCTTTTCTGCCTCCGTTTTGGGATTTCCTACATTTTCGCGACGCACGTCAGAGAGCAGGCCCAAACCTGCAGCATCCTGCTGTGTGTGTGTGTGAGAGTGGAGCAGGTGGAGGTGGAGCAAACATTAGTGATAGTGTAGCATAATTATAGAGAAGGAGAAAGTTCTCATGTGCCCAGGCGTGCACAAGAATAGGAATCTACGTAGGGATGTCCCAATCAAGTTGAGCTTTGCCCAGGAGCCCAGAAATGAATGCTTTGAATATCTTCCAACCCAAACCCTGTTTACTCTGTACTGTATTTTTTTTTTTCATGTGTAAAGCAGTTGCATCGTCCTTGGAGTTTGGTTAGGGATCTGCTGGGTTGGTGAAATCTGAGCATGATTTAGGCTGTCCCTCTTCATTTCCAGCCTCAACAAACTGCTAAGTTTAAGTACAGGGACTGAGGTCGCCCTTCCAATGAGTGGACAACCTCCTGAGCCACAGCCAGCCCTAGTCATGCGGGTTGGCCAGAGAGGTGGCCAGACTTCAGTCTGTAGTGGCCATTGTGTAATAAACAGTGGTTTGATTAATTAATATACTGGTTCTTTTTCAGATTTGGTCTGTGGAATTTTTGTAAATGGTCTAAAATCTTATAAAAGCTTTTATTATTATACATTTTTTATTACTTTTATTTTACAGTTCATTAAACAGCAAGCATAGTCAATTACTTTATTATTTTCTGCTACTTATATCATTATGAATTGATTATTTTTAGACTGATGATCATAAAAAAAAATCCAAATTCAAACCACAAACTCTGGTTGCTTTCGTACAGAGTCTTCGATGGTAAGTCCACTGTCATGACTCACAGTCAGGGGATAATTAACATGGCTTACCTTTGTTTAATTCAGAGTAATGAGAGAAGTATTGCTCTTTTCCCAAAATATCTAACACTTTATCAGCAGCTCATCACTTAAACAACAACATTAAAGTGTGACGTGTCTCAATGTGTCGATTTTTCCTCTCAACTTCTGGTAAATATTCTGAGAGCATACGAGGGGAGTTTCCTCGCCTGCGTTTCAGTGTATGCATGAACAGGCCTGGGCTGCAGGTTGCAGACGCCTCAGGAAAAAGAAGGCCTCGCAAAGGTTGTTTATGTTTCAGGAAGCCCCCCCCCCCGCCTGTTTCAGAGCAAAACAGAAAAGCCTTGGGAAAAGAGGGCTGAGATGTTATTGAGCATCAGAGCTGGTGCATTGTTGGTGTATTGGGGAAGAATTATGAATTATGCATGTCAGACTGATTGGATGGTAGTATGAATGATGCTAAAACACTGGTAGCATTCTCTAGAGATAAGCTCAGCTTTGGTCCTAAAAGTATTAAAAATACATCAGCCAGCTGCACGTCTGGAATGGAGATGACGGTGGTTTTTTGAGGTTCTCCTTTAAATCTTGAATGTAATGGAAACCTGCAGAGGTCTCTGCACGTATAGTGATGATTTCAACTTTAAAAAATGGATGATTTGCTTCTTCACTGATGGGAAATATCAGTGAGTCTTTTGCTAAGTTGTGCCAAACTATTAACTGTCATCGAATAATTTATGATAAAGTTTTGGCAATCAAAGGAAGGAGTTGATTTAGTGCATTTTTTGCCCTTTAATTTGCCATTTAACTCAGATCTGTCTGTAGTGCCAAGCAGGTCACAACAAATCCTCAGATGAGAGGACTGCTCCATTAATATTTATGGGGAAAAAACAGGTTTATTACAGTTGCCTTAAGAAGGTAGGGAGATGACAAATGGCTGTAAACGTTAGGTGGTACACCTGGAGGAAGATGGTTCACAAAGGAAAGTAACTCCTTGCCAACCAGTTAGCTCATGGTTTCACTGGAGAATGTAAGAGTCACGTCACTCTGCTGGCATTCATTCTCGGTGTTCTGTTTGTTGGTGTCTTTAAGCAAGAAAGAAAAGTTGGGACAGACATTGCAGAACTTTTCTGATTCTGATTTTTGTTATCAGCTCAGCTGTAGTCACAACCCCGTGTCTTATTCAGACAATTGGTTTGGAGAAATTGTGAGGAAACAGGTGTAGATTTTGCAGACTTTTGCAGACAAAAAACAGTAACAACAACTTCTGCAAAATGCTAGATGTCAGGTAGAGAAAGAGGTCAAAGTTCAAAGACCCCCAGCCCCTCTTAAAGCTCTCCTGTCCCATGAACTGTGTCGCACATTGCCTGACAACTGAAACTGTTGGACAAAGCCATCACTCTACATTTTTAAAATTAATTCCTCTCTTTGAAAGCAAAGACAATCGTGCTGCTTTTGACATGATCAGCTGCTCGGATCTGAAGCCCCTCGTTGTTTATATAAGCTGGTTTTTAAATGGCCTTCCCTCGCCTGCTCTCCCTAGTAACAACGGCCCCTCTTAGTGTGTCTCCTCCACTACAGAGGGAGCTCATGATTGGTCTATATTTTTATATCTAATTGCTGGAGATGAACAGCAGTGAGTGAGTGCCTGGGTGTTTCAGGTGGTGGGTGTGGGACTGAAATCTGTGGCAGTGTGTTAACTCACAGTGAGCCTCAGTAAATCAGGACAGTGTGAAAATGGATTCTAGGTCTTTTAGCTTTTCAGTCATTTTTCTACACTGTCTAACTTATGAAGTTGAGCTATTGTAGGGTAAATGTTGTTCACAAATATATTTAAGGTATTATATTACCATAACTATTGACCATAAATATTTTTTTTAAAGTTATTTTATAAACACAACTTCACAGTCTTATTCTTCTGCCATGACTAAAGGGGTGTGAAAAGTGGCTAAATCCAGTAATGTAAAGGTGGACATGCCTTCCTGCTGTAATCTAAAGTCAGTATGGGAATGCTTTAAATGTGCATTACTTTTAAAGGCCAGCAGGGGGTGTCACCTTTGCTGCCTCTGCAAGTTAAAACTATGAGAAAATTACCCCACTGCTCACTCGATGTGTGACCTGAGTAAACACTCCCCTGATGAGTTTATGGTCTCAGTCTATAGTCTCGGAGCTTATTTATTGCAACACAATGTTCCTTTTTGTAAATAATGTCACATATAGGCTAAAATAGACAGGGTGGGACTAACCCTGCGACTGACATTTCATGTGACTATGGCCAGTCCACAGGGTTTCTAAGCTCAGATCTACCCATGACTCATCACAACTTAAAAAAAAAAATACATTGCATTCTAAGCTAGTTTAAAGAGTGTCTGACACTTGAGCTGAGACAGCTTAGATGACTATATAGATCTCGAAACGTGTATAAAAAAAAAGCCAACCGCATCCCTATTCCAAAAAGGAAAACTCAACGCTTACTTACTGAATGAAAATCTGAATCAAACGTTAAGGTGTAGTCCTATCTCTGGGGCTTTTTGTTTTTTGCATAGATAATTTGCATTTTGGAAGGAAAAGTTTTGCTAAACTAAAGGCAACCCAAGTTATAATGGAAACATATCATTAATAGCATTGTCAGCATTTAGCTTATGAGCCAGGAGAGAAAAACGAGTCTTTCAGTCCATCTCCACCTTGTCACTCTCTAAAAACATGAGAATGCAGAGAAGCCTGCTGGGTCGTGGTGCTTCTGTTCCTTGAGAACGAGCTAAAGGGCCTTTCCTATGTCGCCCTTCCTTGCCTGTTCCCCGTCTCTTATTATTTCCGGCCTGGCTCCGATGAAGTCGAGCTGGATATCCTGAAAGTGGGTGGCAGGAGAGGAGGGGGCCTGAAAAGCATTTCACCAAGCAGGAAAACTGAAAAAGCATTTCGGTTATCAAGCCCTCGCAGACCTCGCTTGTGCTTGCTTAATTTTCCGATTCTTTCACTCTTTTTCCTCAACTTTTATTTTTTCTTTTACCACATTCTTGATAGAACAGAGTGAAGCTTGACCAGAGGTTACACCTCAAAACATCAGATCTTTTGAGCATTTCTGTGTTTTTTGTTCTTTTTCTGTATACATGAAAATGAATCACTACTTCAACTTTTCCTAGACTGCGAAAGGAAGTCTGTCCACCATGTGAGGCAAAATTTGAACTGCATCACCAGTTGACAGGCTTTGGATTTTTTCACAGTACAAGTTGTGACTGTAGCAAAGATAATCTGTCAGGAATTAGTGCACATTATAAACAGCACTAATGACGCCACTTGATTTTAGCCAGTTTAGCGACAGGAAAGTTAGTCACGGAGTACCACAGGGCTCTGCACTGGGGCCTCAAGAATTCATCGTTCAGTATTGTGAACCTTCCATTGCTATGCAGTTGGCAACCAGCTATATTGACCTAAAAAGCTGGGAGAGATAACCCTGTGAAAATCGACTGACGTTGTTTCCATGAGCTGCAGGTTTTTTTTAGTTAAAAGGAAAAATTGTCCACTGAGTAAATAACAAGCATAATTTGTCATAGCATTTTTTTAACATCTGTTTCTGTATCATCTGTTTTTGCTTTGTCCAGATGATGAGCTACTGATAGTGCGCAGCATCCACAGAGGAATGATTAACCCTGGAGAGGAGAAACAAGTGGTGGAATATAAAACTTTGATTGCTAGTATTGGCTACACCATCCGTGTGCGCTGTGATGAAAACTACTATGGCACCAAATGCAATAAAGTATGCCGTCCACGCAATGACTACTTCGGCCATTATGTGTGCGACCAAACTGGAAACCAAGAATGTATGGAGGGCTGGACAGGGCCTGACTGCAACAAAGGTAGGAAAAAATATATCAGTCAAAGTGCAAACAGCAACACAATCTACCATGTAATAATGTTAACAAGAAAATAAAAATAATTAATCCTTAACTAATAATTAACTAAATAATACAATCTAAACCTTAAATCTTCAGTGTCATAACCAGTTAATAATGTATCTATTTCTCACTATTTCATAGTGAAATCGCAGCACTTTTTATGGGGGAGTACTGGTATATGTGCAATGAATCAAAATGAATCAAAACTGTCTTTTAGAAGCTCTCATTGGCATCATTTTCCACTTTGTTTTTAAATGTTTTTTTTTTTTATTACTTACCACTTTTGGAAAGCCAAAAGCAGCCAGGTTCAAATAAACACTCCTCATCCAAGCTTACTGTGATCACGTGGATCCTCAGTTTTTCCTTCCTTATTGCCCTTTTTGGATGAAATTCAGAAGTTCACGGAAATTCGTGTCAAATGTCACTTTGCAAGAATGTGAAGAATGTCTGGAAATTCCTGCCATTGCTGAAGGCACCTTCAGCTGTCTTGACAGTTCATCCATCTATTGTCACAACAGTTTCTCTGCATTTTCACGAGCAGGGAGGGCTAAGGAAGGACATTTTAATGACTGAAAGCTCAAAAGAATTCAAATGCTTTATGTTAGCTTTATTATGCTTTTAAATAAAAGAGTTTTTCACAATTTTTGGACAAATCCATACATGTCGTTTTCTCTTTTCCTTCTCAAAAGCCATCTGCAAACAAGGCTGCAGCCCCATCCACGGGATTTGTAATGTGCCAGGAGAATGCAAGTAAGTCACCTCTAGTTTTTTTTTTATGCACCTCTATGTTTCTCTTACGGCATTGTTGTCAAGTGATGGAAAATATGTTCTTGTTTGGATGGAAACCCCATCACCACCACCACCACCTCCAACACATAGGGAGTTAATGAGAATAACAGTCCTGACACAACAGAGTGGTGAGTGGGTGAGGGGGTTGTTAATAACATACCAAGCAGCCTAACCCCGCATCACTCTTAACTCCCCCATCCCAGTCTGATGCATTGCCCCCCATTCCTCCACCTCCATCCCTCAGCTCCACTCTGATCCAGAAGCTATTGTTCTGCTTCCTGTTCTAAAGCTGGCCTGCTCTTGCCCGCACACAGAAAGAGAGAAAGCAGCCTGTTTTTTTTTGTTTTTTCTTCCATGTTTCCTTCCTCATCCTTCTCCAGCAACAGAGAGGCACCGTACCTCCCCGCAGTCCCTTCCCTCCACCACCCTCTTCCAGTGTCTGGAGCCCACATCACCTCTTCCTATCCTGGATCTTGTTATGGCTGGCACTCTTATGTTAGGAAGTGTGGATTCCGCGCACAAAGCTACAGACAGCAAGCGGGGATAAAGACAGGGGGCATTGAGGGCAGTGTCACTGGTTGCTAATGGTAACTCAAATTATAGGTCAATACATAGTCTGTGAGTACCTCGAATATAAATATATAATAAGGTAATGAAGTCCATTTACACAAACAACACAAAGTACATGAAATAAGAAATACCAATTACTTAAATGACATTTTACGTGTCAAAACCAAGAGAACTTACCTCACTACAGATAACCTTCATTATGCTTTGGTTGACACAGGCTAAGGGACATGTCATCGACCCCCTGACAATCTTGAGTCACTAGGAGAAAAAAAATGTATTTTTCTGAGTGGTTCTTGTGGCAGATTGCTGGTCATTAACAGACGCAGTCACACGTCAGTTTCTTGAAAGATGTCGATTTGTCTGCATACCTCAATCTCATAAAAAAAGGAAGTGAACAATGATCATCTTCAAAGTAAAAGATTTGGCTGACCACAAGTTTAAAAAGTTGTGGGTTGAATTTTTACCTTGAGGAGACCATTTTTCATGTACGGTATACGTGACAACCTGCTACTGACCAAACCAATCACAAGGAGGTTGTATATATATACATGTGACCAATTTCATTTTCTCCAACTACCAGCAACTCTCAGAAAACATTTTTAAACCAGTTGGAGAACACACACTGTTGTCTAGCGATTGGCTGTACTTTACCTGAGTAATTTAGCCTTGATAATTCATTGGATGAACGTTCTATGAGATACCAAATACAACAAATCAGAGATGCTACTGCTCCAAAAAAAATTGTATTTCATGGCTCCCGTGTGTTCATGAAAAGTATTAGACCAGTACTTCTACACTAGCTACAGTGTTGTTGCTTAAAGCAACAAGCATTCAAAAAAGGCTGATGAAGCGTTTACAGTTATGTGAACAGCAGAGATGGCAGCAGAGAGATATTTAGATTTGATTACATTTGGAACTGAACTGTACATTTAGACAGAGTGGAACACAAGCTTTAAAAAGCCAAACTACACACACACACACAAACACACACACAAATAGTGCCAAGTATTTGGAAACATCAGAAGAGCAGCGTTGACAGAAGGGAGGGAGGGAGGTTAGGGTTTTACACTGTGGCAGGTTTGATTAGGTTTGATGAGGCTGACATTTCTCATTGAAAATGGCCAGAGGATTGTAAGAGAAAGCAACACCCTGGAATGTGCCTCAACATGTGATTTGGAGCTTCGTCGCCATCAGGTGCGCACATACGCGCAGCGCTGAGAAAGAGAAGAAGCAAAAGAGAAAGAGAGAGTCGGGGGATAGTTCACATTTATACGAACACATAACAAAACTGTAAGCCTAACTGTGTGAGAATAAAACTAAAACAGACACACCTGACAATAAACGTAACACTCTTGAGCACAGAAAAACTGATATGAAATGAATTATGAAATGAATTGCATTAGAAGGATTTATTTGTATTATATATCAATGTTAAGGTTGAAATGCTGATCTATGTCACAATTTATTCGGAAGAAAAACAAACAGTCTCTTGTCTATCACACCAACTTCGTACTTTAGCCTTAATCGATCTTTAATTTAAATTAATCCACCTTCTAAAACAAGGTATTTTAGCTAACTATGCCTTCTCTTTAAGCCAACTTTCTTACTGGATAATAGCAGGTGAGTGGGGCTCCTGTGAGACTAACCTACTAAGGGTATCCCCTGTCTTTGACATCATACAGGTCCAAGAGAAAAAAAACTGTATAAAACTTCACGTTTAGAGCAGTCTGAAGTCTTCTCATGACCTTTTGGTTCATGGGGATCACTTGCGTATACACTGCCTTCATTACTTGAGGTAAAACATAATTAGCCCCCTTTCAATGGAGTCAGTGGAAAAGTCTTAAATGGATCCAGCCACTTCCACTTTATTTTGATGCAATGAAAATTGTGGATGATACAGGCCCTTTAATTAAAAATCCAATTTCACCGTTTACAAAACACGTAAATCTAATAACGTACAGGGAGGATCCGTTTATTCAGAAGACAGCCACCTAAGCCGCAAATATGCGCCTGTCAAACGTTACAGTGTGGCTCAGCCTGTGGTGTCAGGTGCAAATTGATTGAAAGCTCCATAAAAATCACACGTAATGCGATCTCGCAAAACAAACGGGCTTGTATTAATATGATTCAAATAGAAAACCGTGTCAGGGCGAACGCATACCGAACAAGTTAGAGCGAATGTGATGTCAGAAGAAGTATTAAACCCCGATTCTTTTGTCCCCATGATAGAACAGAGAAAACCCGACTCATAGCGGTCAAAACATTTTATATTTCAGAGAGGAGGAAAAAAACAGAAGAAGAAGAAGTAGTTACTGGGTTAATGTCTGGGAAATTTTGAGGGAAGAGAAAAGAGAAAGAAACAGGGGGAAAAAAAGCATCTCAGCCTGGCAGAAGGAAACTAAAAATGTGTGTTTGGTATCTTGTTTCTTACACACAGCGCATTCACAACCTACGCTCCCTCATGTGACACTACTAAACATGTAGCTAGGCAACAGCAGGCTAAGTCCGTCTGCTGGATTTGGGCGCGAGACTTGCCTGTAAATAATTCAGCGGTCCCACACACGGACACTCGCACACACAGCCCCCTCTACCTCGGCCCACCGTCCCGTCTTCAGGGTGTGGTTTGTCTGAGGGGCAGCGGCGGGGCGTGGGGTTTTGTGGTAAAGGAGGGATATTTTAGGCCCTGGCTTGGCCCCCATGGCCCCCTCCATTGATGGGACAGCAGCAGCCCAGTGACGGTGCTTGTGGGTAATGCCACCCTTGGCCTGTGGCTGCCCGAAACCATTTCCCTGCTCTCCCACACTGCAGCCAGACAGGCTGTCCGCTCTGCCACCGCTGACAGTGTGCAGGGCACTAGTGCCAACCGCAGAGCCGGACAACACTGCATACAGTAGTAAACAATACATAGCACTGTCTCCCAGACACACAAACACACACATATGCATAAGTGAATTGCAAATACAGAGCGAGATCAGATGAAAATTGCAGTCATGCATACAGTTAAAAACATTTCTACTTGCAAGTTGTGCATGAGACCAAACTGTCTGTGCATGTTTTGATGTAATCAGAACTTGGTCACTGCTCCATTTCTTTCTTTGTTTTAAGTGTGCCTCTGTTTGCCTGATACCGCACACAGGTATTCCAAGCTCATTTAATAGGAAAGGCCACCAGCTACAGAAAATATGTTGTTAGCATTTTGCATGAATTGAGTTTAAAGACCGTTAGAGCAAAATTTGAAATTAGCTACCATAATAAATGTGATCCTGGGTCAAATAGGCTTTATTCTTTTGGTTTCTGATAATTTTCCTGGACGCCAGGGCCCGGTCACATTGTTTTTTTGAGTGCTGTCCCGTCTGTCATTGTCCCAAAGTACTACAGCACATCACAGCAGGCTACAGAGACCCATTTCGCTGCCTTTTGGTCTTTTGGTCGGCTTCCATTTTGAAGTGTTCGTGAGAGTCGAAGGAGAGGAGGGCTGGTTGGGTGGGGAGGTGGGTTTTGCGGGCCCCAAAATAGCCCCAACGGAGAAATGACAGGACAGGTGGGGCAAGGTTACCACTGGCCTTGGAATAACAGAGCGCTGCCATATACCAACAGATTAGCTAACCCTGTGCCTGCCTCTGCTTCGAGACGACTAAGCCTCGTTTCACAAAAAAACACCCGTTCCAAGTTTGCCCTCAAGCCACGCTCACGGCACAGGAAGAGGGCAGAGAGCAGACATGGCGTGCATGATGTCTGTGTGAAGAAATGCACAAAACAAACAAAATGGGCGGGCTCTTAGAAGGTCACTTTTCTCTTTTATCGACAGTATTTTGTAGATTACAGTATTGCCTCTGATGATATAAGTCGTATTATACACCAAGGAAGGCTTTAACTCTAATAAAAGTGCAGGTTTTTTTGCTAATACTTAATACTTGGGAGTTTTGGACAAATATGTTGGCAAAATGAACAATTTGAAGACTTCGGATGAGACTTTTGGACTTTTATATTAGCAGTGAAGTCACATTTCATATATAAGTGCTACAGCAGTAAGACATAAGCTAGTTTTGAATAATTGACCTGAAACTTTGTAGGAAATGTGAATGAATGTGCACATGAAAGTAAGCATGACGAGATATTTGCAGACCCACACACACAACACACTCAGGAATGTCCCCTGGCCCTGCATGTTCTAAGATTAGGAGTGGCAGCAAACATGTCACTCACCTCGATGAAGATGCTTTGTCCTGCTGTGGCGTTCAGCTGCAGTGTCACAGTGGTAATGTGTGGCTGAGTCAAGTACAGTGATGTTTGTACTTGCTGACCCTTCATGTATGCAGAATTCTTCCCTCTCTGAACTCCATAAATTGCCCTTTTTTTGGCACCCGGCAGCATCCCTCGTGTTCACCAGCCATGTCCCACTGGCACGATGGCATGACATCAAGTGCTCCTCTGTGTTTCCCGACGTCGTAGAAGTATTAAATGACTTTATTGTTATCAATACGTAACTATCACTCTTTCTCAAGGCTAAATCCTCCTACCCCCCCCACCCCCCACCCTTTCCCCTCGCATTTTTAAGCCTGTCTGTGTGCCTGATGCTCCCTCGAGCTGGTTGTGCTATTAAGAACACATTCTTATTGTGCGTGTGAAATAAGAGGCACTTATTTTGCTAATAAATACACTCACCCACTGTTTTCCCTCTTCTATGTGTTTTTTTATTTATTAGTAATGGCACAAGTATTTCAGTCCTCAGGAGCTTAACTGTCTGTAACCAGTTTTCGGGTTCATATTGCTCCTGATTGAGGAAAAGAAAGAAGCGAGGAGGCAAAAACAGCCGCCCAGGTGTGCTGTCTGTATCAACAGCAAAAGTATTTGGTAATTAAAATAAGGACATTTCTTTTCTCTGTGTTGCAGGTGTAACTACGGCTGGCAGGGTCCGTTGTGTGAGGAGTGCTTGCCATACCCAGGCTGTGTTCATGGTACCTGCAAGCAGCCCTGGCAGTGCAACTGTGAGAAGAACTGGGGAGGCCTGCTATGTGATAAAGGTCAGAAGTTAAATATGTTTTCTAAGATCTAAGATGTCCATCTTTAACATAGCCAGAATTTCCAAGACAAACTATCCTTATGGTTATTTATTACAGACGCTAGCTCTGACGGGACCATGTTAGTCAACACAGGATTCTTATTCTGTGTGCACTAATTGACATGTGGCAGTATACCTCCGTTTTGTGGGGAGGGCGGCAGCATATAACCTGAGTGGAATTAATTAAGTCAGAAACAACATGAATAGCGTGAAATAAGGAGCTGGGTTGGAGGTGGGTTGACAAGTGGCTTGCAGAGAGAGCGACTGCTTAAATAGATGCTCGAGGCTTAATTAAGCTGTGATCTTAAAATTAGTCAGTAAATAAAAAATGTCTTTGGGTTGTAGTGATCAAAGAAAATATAACTGTGACAACAATGTGAGCAGACATAATAGGTACCATTTCAGTTGTCCAATGTCTTGGAAATAAAGAAAACCTGTTGCTCCTGTAGGACTGTGATCCTTTGTTGTTGGATTCATCTTGGCCTCATGGTGAGACTGGTCAGGATGCAGGGTAGTGAGATAGAAATGGAATAAATTCATCATTTTGTAGGAAAAAAGTGATGGTGGCTGATGTGTTTTGGAAGTTAAAGAGCACAGAGATGCAGAATAATGACACCTCAAAGTATTTAATTATTATTTTTTGGTCAGGGAGGCTTTTGTACGTAACAATTTTGCTGCTAGTTATCTATCAGATAGCTTCTCCCAGAAATATCACTTCACACACACACTTTACTGTTCTGTCTCTGTGCAGATCTGAACTACTGTGGGACCAACCGGCCCTGTAAGAATGGAGGAACGTGTATGAACACGGAACCAGACGAATACCACTGCGCCTGTCCGGATGGCTACTCTGGCAAGAACTGCGAAATCGGTCAGTGTCTAAATACAACGCACCAAACATTTAGGTTCAAAGACCTTTGCTTTGGGCCACAGTACATTTGGGACAAAGCTCCAAAGAAACATAAAAATCTAATTAGACATTTGACTTTCTTTTTAGCGGAGCATGCCTGTGTGTCTAATCCTTGTGCCAACGGAGGGACGTGCCACGAAGTCCCTACGGGGTTTGAGTGTCACTGTCCTGCTGGCTGGACTGGGCCAACCTGTGCTAAAGGTGAGAGGTGCTAAACTGTCTAGGTATTTCCCAGGTATGGCAAATATTACTTAGATGGATGCATATAACTATAGTTTTCTGTACCACACTAAGTACTGTGGCTGTGATAGTAGCTTTAACATACGTCTTATATTTCAGACACTGATGAATGTGCCTCCAGCCCCTGTGCTCAGGGCGGGACATGCATCGACATGGAGAACGGCTTCGAATGCCTCTGTCTTCCACAGTGGACAGGCAAGACCTGCCAGATAGGTATGTCTGTCTATCTCCATCTAATGAATGATGTATTCTAAAGAAAGAGAATCATCTCATTTGAGCAGCTCTTTTTTTTTTTTTTTTTGACTGCTCAACATCATAAATTGATGTGTTTTTTAAATTAAATTAGGTGTCTTTCAGGTAGAAGCTTCATAATATTATATAATTTTAATTTTAAAATCCTAATTTGAAAAACCACTGCATGCTAGATGATATGTGGTGAAGCCAATGTGTGTGGCACCTATGGTGAATTCCATGCATCCACACTTGCGCGCAGAGTTACAGCATATCTAGTTGTTTGTTTATCCTGCCACATCGTTTAACCAGCAGTATAACTGCAAGAGGCCCACTAATTTCATGTGTGTGTCTGTCTGTGCATGCGCATGCCCAGCGGAGACGCTCTCCGAGCATCGTCTGCAATTTGAGCCAGGTGACTTGAGTAAAGCTAAAAATAACCCCCCGCCTGGCAACTGCTAGCCTTGGGACCAAATCTACTCCACTGGGGGGTTATCTTTGGCTCCAGACTGGCCGTAACAGTGGAGTATATGCGCTACGGTGAGGCAACGCCCCAGCATAGCGGAGCCCTCACACCCTCCGGCTTCAGCCAGGAAACACTTTATAACCTGTAAACATACACAGGGAGCAACCGAAATGCAGCGGCTTGTGTTACGAGTCCTGTTATTCTCAGAGTGCTTCCCCTTTCAGGGAGCAGGGTGGTACCTGTGGGAGAGGGAGATGAAGTGAACGGGTGCTTTAGATCGGGAGGAGGCTCGGGTTTTGGGAAGGGGTTTGGGGTGTTTAGTTTCAGCAGGCTAACAGGTGCCGCTTACCTCCTGGGAGTAGTATTAATGCACTGTGTGTTGGTTTATAGTGGGCAAGGCGGCACGGTGGGAGCGGCGAGCGCTGCCTCTGAAACTGACCACTTGGAATGCCGCAGGTTGGCCCTCAGGGAATGCAAAAGAGAGACATTAACCCCTAGGGGTGGGGATGAGGACAAAATGGCAGGAGTAGGGGGAGGCAATGGAAACCAGTGGAAAAGTAAACACCCATCCAGACATGAACTTTACTTTATTACCTAGTACACATTACATTTATTTCAGTGTTCATTTATTTAAATAAATCAAGTGGCTTTATTGTGATTCCAACCATGTGCGGTGGTACAGTTCACAGTGAAACGAGACAACATTCCTCCAAGACCATAGTGCTACATATGACATATAACAGACAATCAACACAGGACTCCATAAAGTGCAAGTGTGCAAAAATGGCAAAAACACAAAACAAAGACAGTGCAACACCAGACAGAACAGAACGATACAGACACAAGACAGCAGATGACAACAATGACAGTGGGTTGTGCAAATGACTGCACACTGTGCAAAAAGTAACTTGATGTGTCATATATATATATATATAATAAGTGCAGAAAGCTGTGAGCAATACAGGAATTAAATTAAACTTGTGCTGTGGTAGGGCGCTACTGAAGTGTTTCCAATAACCATCAAAGCACCAAAATTGGTTTTGGAGACAGCTCCAAACAGGTCTACAAACAGCGTATGCCCAGTGCGGATGACAACCATAAATCAAGGTGTTGGAAAGAGTTACCATGAGTCAAATATTGCAGGATAATTCGCAGCACTTTGAGTTACCATGGAGCATTTTTTGTTCCTGAAGTCTGCGTTTAAAGCCCGTAAATGAAATGAAAAAAGAAAAAAAAACAATTCACATAAGTTGTCGCTAAAAGGGAAGTTTGGGAAAGACCTTCGATCTTTGGCCTTCATTTCAGTGGGCTGTGTGACAGGAGGCTGTGCTTGGTGACGGGCTTTCTGAGCAGGTTCTTGGCTTTAATTCATTTTCTCTGTGTCTCTCATCTCCATTTTTCAGATGTAAATGAGTGCGCGGGGAAGCCGTGCCTCAATGCTTACGCTTGCAAAAACTTGATTGGTGGATATCACTGTGCCTGCTTTCATGGATGGGTGGGCCAGAACTGTGACATCAGTTAGTATCAGTCCAGCAGATCATTAGTCTTTAGCCTCTTTCCAGCTACCTGTAGAAAACAGAGGTGAAACAGGGGCCTCTGTCCAGCCAGCTTCTTTTCCACTGTAGCAGTAAATCAGTGTTTGTTCTGATAGATGGTTTCTCATGAAAATCTACATCATGTAATTCCTATTTCAAAAATAATAACCAATTTTTCAGGAAAAATGGTCTTTCTAGATGCTTACTACAAGCACTGACAGCATAGCAATATGCTATTAATATCTATCGATATCAAAATTGCTAGCAAAATTCTAGTAAATTCCAATATAATAGGTAACATCTTTTAATATCTGAACATAGTATTTACTGCAGTTTTTTTTCTTTTCCCGAAATAAAGAAAAAAATATCTGCACAAAAAAGTCACACGGGGCCTTAAAAGCATGTGAGTTTTAACCTGGTTTTGCATATTTTCAGCAATTTTATTGCCACCAAATTTTTTTCTTTGGCAAATTGATTTAATTAATCACGTTTATTAAAGATATATTAAAGAATACATTTATCTTTGACCTTTAATTTTGGAAACAGTCCAATCTCTAAGCTCAGTGGTAAATTTAAAAAATATTGGCAAAACAATCAAAACTTCACCTTAAAATATTACTTCTTCCAACAGTAGAAAGTACATGTTCATATTATGTGACCAAAACATTTTGACTAGAATTTCCTTATGCTTTGGTGACACAGGTGTGCTAGCAACAGAATGAGCTGCTGTCCAGTATAGTCCTTAATAATTCATATGTATATAGTATATTTTACATTGTACACATAAAAGTCAAGAAGAGTTTATCTTCTTAGAAAGCACAAAAAGAAAAACGTCTACTGAGAAATCCAGAGATTTGCAGATGGCAGTGGAAGAGAAGCTTGTCGGCCAAGGAAGCTGGGCTTTAGCTGTATTCTGTCTCTTATATACCTCCCTTATGGCTGTGTACCTGCTACACACTGGCTCACTCTTCTAAAACTACAATGTTTTCCCAAACTATCAAACTTTTTTCTTAAATTGCTTAAACTCTTTAGGGTTAGCTTTTTTCCCTCTGCAAGTTAAATTCCGTTGCACATTCTCACAGCTCATCTGCACCTCTGAATCTGCAATTCTTCCAGGCATGGAAAACTTTGCTTTGGTTTCATCGACCACTTTCCTGTAGCAGCTGCACGTTACAACACTGTTCTGCCCATTTTGTCAAAGTCAGTTTCAGATCTGACATTTTTCTTGTGATTGATTATTCAACAGACGTGAACAGCTGTCACGGACAGTGTCAGAACGGAGGGACCTGCAAGGTGAGACTTTTTAGTTCAAACATAATGAGGTCTTTATTGATTTTATTTTTGATGTGATGACAGCAACGGAGAAGTAACATGCTTCTTGTCAATCATCCAAGTACCTGTCAAAACATAAAAGAATAAGCTATTATGACTTTGAAAGGTTATCAACATTCAGTGACTGAATGAGTTTTTGTGTTTTGTTAAACAAATAAAAAACAAAACTTCAAATATGGACTTGGGTTTGGATTTGAAGCCTGTTTCAGATAAATCAAGAATTAAAGAAAATGCATGGCATTGATCCAGTAAGTCAAGTAAGCTGCATCAGCCTCCTGGTTAGTTTTGCATGTATTAGCTAAAGAAGGTGTTGAGCTGTTTCTTAGTGAAAAACAGTTTTTTCCTTATAACCTGAAATCAGTCACTATTTGTGATGTGCAACTTACCCTTTCCAAATGTCACAGCAGTTGTCATGGTGAAAGCTTGAACATATCTGGACAAAAGTGACAGTTTAATTATCCTCTATAAATAAAATGTGTCAGCAGACACTTTGATGACTTCTTATCTTTATACCAGGAGTTGGCCAGAGGCTACCAGTGTGTCTGCCAGCCAGGTTTTGGGGGTCGGCACTGCGAGGTTCCGAGGAACTGGTGCAGTAGCAGTCCATGTAAGAACGGCGGGCGCTGCCACACTCTGCTGCACGGCTTCATGTGTGAATGCCCACAGGGCTTCACTGGAACAACGTGTGAGGTAAGGACTAAATCCAACTTATATAATATGCAGAAGACAGTTTGATGTTTTTGCTGTAGTTTCGTTTCACAAATGCATTTTCTGTTTTTCTTCCTGAAGTTGCAGAACAACCCCTGTAGCCCAAACCCGTGTCAGAACAAGGCTCAGTGCCACAGCCTGACCGGTGATTTCTACTGCAGCTGTCCGGATGACTATGAGGGCAAAACCTGTTCAGAGCTCAAGGACCACTGCAAGACCAACCAATGTGAAGGTAACCCAGCATCTTCACATTTTTAAAAAATGTACTCATCAGAAAATTGTGACAAATAATTCCAAAGTGCTCCCCTTGCTGATCATCTCTTTTTCATTTCGTTACCCCAAGTGATTGATAGTTGCACTGTTGCCGTCACAACTAACGACACTAAAAAGAGGGTGTGGAACATCTCATCCAATGTGTGTGGACCGCGTGGCCGCTGCATCAGCCTGCCGGCTGGGAACTTCAGCTGCTCCTGTGATCCGGGATTCACTGGCACCTACTGCCATGAGAGTGAGTCATTATTAGCTGACACTCCCACACACACACACACACACACACACTGACTATATTTATCATCAGTTACCATCACTGGGAACCACATAATTCTTACGGTAATTCAAACTCTCACTTCAGCAATCATGTCTGTCTTAGTTTGGTCTACTTAGTTTGGTCTACAGCAGAAGGAAGAAAGAATCTCAATAAACAAAATGTAAAAGACAAAAATCAACAGTTTTGATCTTTTCTTGAAAATTAACGGGGTATTAAAAGAACTCTTCTCTCTTTGCCTGCAGACATTAATGACTGTGCACCATCTCCGTGCAAGAACGGAGGCACTTGCATCGATGAGATCAACTCCTTTAAGTGTTTCTGCCCAGACGGCTGGGAGGGCAGCCTCTGTGATGTTGGTGAGTGTGTGTAGGTGTGTGGCAGAGGAGTGGATTTTTCTCAGTGTTGGTGTAGCTCAACAGTACAAGCTGTAAAGGAGAGCCTGGCTGAGTCATGCAGATTATGAGTCACAGCCATGGGAGACACAAGAGGAATGATGAGCAGTTTGAGGATCTCGCAGAGGACTAGAAGATTTGAGATAAATACAGGTGTAAAATGTAACAATCAAGCCAGCTGACAGACTCAAAATCTATTTTGTGGCTATGTGCTTACAGACAGTGCACACATTTGCAGATGACAGTCTATATTATATTTGAAAGGAAAAGGGTTAGGTTTAGACAGAAGTAATTTATTGGTGAAATAAACATTGACAGTTTTGAGTGCAAAATACTATAATCTCTGCCAAGACTATGCCTGGGGCTAGAGAAGCTTGAGTTTTTGCTGAAGAGTTGAACCAAACTATTATCACACGTTATCTGATTACGTTAGGACGGTAATCAGTAGCTAAAACGAGTGCACTGAGTTGCTGTCTGACTCTTTTCCAGACGTAAACGAGTGCAGCAGGAACCCCTGTCAGAATGGAGGCCAATGTGTCGATCTGCTTAATGACTTCTACTGCAACTGTGTAGACAACTGGAAAGGAAAGACCTGCCACTCACGTAAGTTCAACATGCGAGCCAACTCATTAAATAGACACTTTGCATTGCGTCAAAAGCTTAAAATCTTTTCCCCATGCCATCTCGGTGTAGGCGAGAGCCAGTGCGACTCCACTACCTGCAGTAACGGGGGAACGTGTTATGACCACGGAGACTCCTTCCTGTGCAGCTGTCACTCAGGCTGGGGTGGCAGCACCTGCAACACGGGTGAGACACCAGCATCACTTTTGTTTCACTGCAAAAACACAGAGTTACATTAATGATTTATAAAAAAATTTTTTTACTGTGTTTTATTTGTTTTTTTTAGCCAAGAACAGCACCTGTGATTCAGGTCCTTGCGAAAATGGAGGGACATGTGTTGGAGGGGGAGATGCCTACACTTGTATATGCAAAGACGGCTGGGAAGGACCCACATGTTCACAGAGTATGCAAAGTTTTGGGTATTTCTTACATTCTCTTACTAACCAGGATACATGCAGATACTGTGTGTTTAAAAAATCGTATGTCTATATACTGTTATAGCATCAGGATAAAATCAGTTACATATGCTTTTTATACATTTATACAACTCACTCATTCTCACCTATGGATTATGACAGGTTTCAAGTTTTCAAGTTAATTATGTCTTTCCTCTTGCAGATGTTGATGACTGCAATCCTCATCCCTGGTAAGATATGGAAATATTTTGCCCTCTAATGATTTTTAAAAATGTATTGGTGCTACAATATATCAGTATCTAAGGAAATCTGTATGTGATGTGTTTTTGTTAATGAGTTTGAGGTTGTTGGTTGGTTGGCTACACAAAACAACACATTTTATAATTTTTTTGTTTTTTGCAATTTATTGAAAAAATGAGGAGTACACAAACTGTTGAGATCTTGGGATTCTCTACATCAGAGAGGCTACCCTGGACAAAAGCCTTCCCTCCCCCTTGCCCTCCCCTTCAATGACTGACAGGTGGATTAGTGGTGGTTTTGGTTTTTTGGAGAAGGCGGTGGATGAGGAGGGGGAGAAGTGCAGGAGAGTGTGAAGTGTCACCCCTCTGACCATTCACCGACCTCGACCTGGGAAACATTGTAAGGAGTGAAGGTGTTGAGGGGTGTTTGGGGGGGCTCGGTATGTGGCCTGGGCAGATTTACATATGAAGCCTGGACATTGATCTGGGATCAGCTTCATCCTGCTGCGCCTGAGAGGCTCTGCAGACCCACAGAGCAGAGCGTGGGATAAATCAGGACTACTAAGCTACACATATCTACCCGTTCACCCATTTTCCAGCTATGCGTACATTTTCTTATCTCTTTTGTGTGTGTGGGCGGGGTTATATGGGTCAAATTCGATTATTTACTTACCAAGTACAAAAAAAATTCAGAGAGCTTTTGTTAACATCAAAAACTGAATATTTGTTTCTAGGTTAAATCCACTTTTGATTGACTTGTTTGGATCTGTCTCCTGTCTCCTTTGTAGCTACAACGGCGGCATCTGCGTGGATGGTGTGAACTGGTTTCGCTGCGAGTGCGCTCCAGGATTCGCTGGACCGGACTGCCGCATCAGTGAGTCCCTGGGAACTGGAAGGGGGCATGAGGCTGGGGTCAGATGGGCGGGGGTTCAGGGGTGAAAGGCCGCAGCGAGGGAGCGTGAGCCGATTGTTTCAGGGCGACAGATTAGGAAGCCTTTCAGGAAGACCGTCTTAACCTCTCCCCTCTGCACCGAGCGAGGTCAGAGCTGAAGTTTGTCAGACAGGTCTGTGCGCTCTCCCGTGGCCCTTCTGGGAGAGAGCTCTTCAGAAAAAGCCCCCGCTGAACCAAAGCGTTCAGCGTTATTCTTTTAAAGAGTTTAAAACCAAACCGGTATTTGAGACTTTTTTTTTTTTTAAAGTAGAGAAACACTCAAAAGAGAAATGCAACACTGAAAGAAATATCTGTACTTAAAAATATTTTTTAGTTCTTAATGTTTTTAGGTTGTAGTTTTCAACTTTCTATGCGCTATAATCTGAAAAGTTTTTTCTAACAATGCCTACAATGCTTGCTTTTTAAATAAAGCACTCACAGTTGTTACAGTGAGTCACCGGGACTTGTCTAGACTGGTCTATGGTGGGCATTAGAAGTTTAATAATTCTCTGCACGCTGCCTGCGGTTTTCTCTTTCAGACATCGATGAGTGTCAGTCGTCTCCTTGTGCTGAAGGTTCGACCTGCATGGATGAGATCAATGGCTACCGCTGTCTCTGTCCTCCAGGACATGCTGGACCTCGCTGCCAAGACTGTAAGTACAATAAATAGCTGTTTATAGAGGTTCATAAGATGATGGTTTAGACGTAAATCAGATTTGAATCATTTTATTAAAGAAGACCTATTATGCTCGTTTCCAATATTTCTTTGCTTGGACCTTTTATCAGAGTAGCTGTTTGTTCATTTTTCACAAACGTTTGTCTTTATTTAGCACCCTTTGTGTGCCCTTTGGGTCTGAAGCCTATACGTAGATCCCTTGGCCCTCTATTTAAGCTCCCTGTCTTCTGATTGGCTGTCCCCAGTAAACACAAGGTCTTAAAAGCAGGAGGGGCTAAGACAACCATATTTGCAATATCCTCTGTCTATGACATCAAGCAGAGCTAAAAATAGAAAAAGTATCTGAAATGGAGTGAGCTTTTGGCTTGCACGACTACATCGGCATACACTGACATCATTATTTTGAACTTCCACCATTTTTAATGTAAGCATTCACTACTCTGATAGTAGGTGCTGTATATGACAGAAGAAAAGGAGAGAGAATAATATGTCTACCTAGGGCAGCTCTATGGCTTTCATGTGACTACAGTGAACTCCAGCAGTTTTATAGGATTATAACTTACATTTAAGATTACATTTGACAACTTCAATTGTTGCTTTAATTCTTTCTTCTTTCCAGTCATCGGACTTGGGAAGCCATGCCGTCACACTGACCTACAGTTTCCTCACGGCAGCCGCTGGGAGGAGGAATGTAACACATGCCAGTGTGTCAACGGGAATGTTCATTGTTCCAAGGTTAGGAATACGAGAATGAATCGTAATTGCTAAAGCTAAGCTAGCTCGGTATTAGCTAACTGAGCGTTTGGTGTGGACCCTCTCTCTGAACGCTGAATTCCTCTAGGTGAGATGTGGCCGTAAGCTCTGCATCCTCCCGAAGGCTCTTCCGCCTCCCGAAGCAAACCTTCCGTCCTGCCCCGGAGGTCACGAGTGTGTGGAGCACCAGTTCCTCACCTGCTTCTCGCCACCCTGTCATCAGTGGGGGGTGTGCTCAACGCCAGACCCCCCCACACCTCTGCACACCCAGTGCGAACCTAACAGCGGCTATCTGGATAACAACTGTGCTCACATCACACTCATCTTTAAAAAGGACAAAGTGCCACAGGTGAGTAAATCATACAGAAGTAGGAACTTGAATCGTTGTCTTCTGAATTTTTTTAAGCTTGGTCTGTGGGTCCAGTTACAAAAGCCTTTTATGTCTTATGCTTTAGTGGCACTGAACAAAAATCTGTGGTTTTACATTGCAGGCACAGTTCACATAAACGTGATTCTTAATGTATTCTCCATACATTTCAAGACTTTATTAATATTAACACATGGCTTTTAATATAGAGGACACTTTTACAAAGGGACAGGTGCTGGATCAGCTCTGTACTGACCAAAAAACTTTGAGTCTTAGCAGGGGGAGGGGAAAAGTTTGTCTGGCTGTCTGGGTCATGCCTGTCGGGCATGTCTGAATGGGAACAAATCTGCTCCTCTGACAAAGTGTTGATGAGGCAAGGTTTTCCCCCTGCTGGGGGATGCTTTCGGATTGAATCCATGTAAGAAAGACTTAAAAGGAATGAGAGGAATTTGTTCACCCGTGTTGTCCGTGTGCCGCAGGGAACCACAGTGGAGAACATCTGCTCGGAGCTGAGGTATCTCCCCGTGACTCGGACGCTTGCTGAAGAGCGGGCATTGCTCATCCTCTGTGACCAGTCCTACTCCACCAGTGATGCCGTGGAAGTCGCTTTGGTAATTATTACACACACACACACATGCACTTGTGTGCACTTGTCCCACAATGTAAGACTGACTTGTGCCTTTATATTTGAAAAAGCAAAGAGCATTGGTGAGAAGTTTTAGGATGATTCCAAGACAGGAAAAGGAAGAAAGAAACGTTTAGAAAGTCTGTGAAGGTTCTCAGTCATACAGGTCATCATAGTCTAAGGAGCTTGGAAAGAAAAGCGACTTCTTTAAGTTGCTTGAAGATGTTTCACCGCTCATCCGAGAAGCTTCTTCAGTTTGAAATATGTATCTTTATGCAAATAATTCATCCCCCATTATGGCTACTGCATCCACCCACTACCATGATTCTGTGGAGATGCCTCTCTGATCTTTGATCCTGCTTACACGAACTCCCAGTCTTTCCTCCTCACTTGTCCCTTTTTTTCTTCTTCCACTTTATTGAATCGCACATAACCCCCCACTGCAAATTGTTTCCAGTAGAGGACAATAAAATCAGATCTTTTTTCTATTTTTGGTTTATTTCGTCCTTGTTTTAGAAAACAGAGAGAGGAAAGAAAGAAGTATTTGATGCTTTTAACAACATCTGGTTAAAATTTAGCTTTACTTTTGGGAACTTGCCGATCTTGCTCTCCTTCTGCGTATTTCTTCTTCTTCCTCTGCATCTTTTCCTTCCCTGTCTTCTTTATCTTCTCCTTTAATATCTGCACAATCTGTCTGATCCCATCTGTCTCCCTTGCTTGCTTTTATTTGCCCTCCTTTATAATTTCCCCCCTCTTTGTTTTAGTTTCTGTATTTCTCACTCTCGGCCACCCAGACTTGAGGGAATCAGTCACATCTAAGCTCTTAATGGAGGGGATTAGTTTTTGTTCCTCTGATGTTTGCAGGCCTGTTTTGAGCGACAGATACAGGAAAAGGAGTGGTGAGCCTGACATCCACCCAAACTCCTCAACAAGGCTTTCATAAAAAGAAGGAGGAAAAAAAATAAAAAGCTCCACTCCCACTTGTTGCGGACTTGTGTTGCAGTGATATGTCACCGCTCAGTTTCACGTGCGAGTGAAATCTTTATGATCTGAGCGCAGGCTTTAACCTGAGCGGATAAAGAAGTGCGATGCCTGTGTTTCAGAATGCATGTGGGGACGAGTGGTTTGTCTTGGTTTGTGTCCCCTCGAACATGTTGTGGCCTCTTCAAATGTTTTTTAAGGAAAACTGATGGATTCAAGAAGTTGTGGCCAAATATTTGAAAGTGTTTACTTCGATTTGTTTCATCAGGCATGCTCATCACAGAGTTGTCCATGGGTGCTGCACAGAAATTTGCAGACTGATGTCCGCTTGTTGTAGGTGTGGCAGTGTTGAATTTATATACAGATATGGAAAAACTAGTAAGGTGGGAAACACTTGTTTATGTTCATGCTGTGTTGGTCCTTTGCTTTAGTGCTTGGCATGGAAAAAACAGTCATCATACATAAGAAATCTTTTGTAGTGGAGTGTTGGAAACTGTTTTTAATTTTAACAATTTTTTGTGCTTCTTTCTCTTCATGGGGAATTCCACTGTTGTTCCCATTACTGTCCAAGCCAGCGTTTCTACCAGTCAGCGTTCTGTCTGCTGATAGCACCGCAAACGTTTGGCTCGATGCTGTTGGCTTTTTGGAGGCGCTGGTGGAATTTCCTCTGTCTTTGTAGCCATGCATTCAATTTAGTTGAGTTTTATTTATGTATATATATATACATATATATATGTGTGGTATACATATATTTATATAACAACAAGGCACTTTGTATTGTAAGGTAAAGACCCTAAATAACCCCAGAGAAAACTGCAACAATCAAACAACCCCCTTTGAGCGAGCACTTGGTGACAGTAGGAAGGAAAAGCTCCCTTTTAACAAGAAGAAACCTTTAGCAGAACCGGACTCCAGAGGGGGCAGCCGTCTGTCGTGACCAGTTGGGGTTGGACAAACACAAACCAACACTAATGAACTAAACATTAAATGTGTTTTCATCCGCTGCTCAAGATAGTCCCAAATAATTGCAAAAAAAATTAATTATTTCCTTCTGTTTGAGCTTTTTTTTGCTGAGGATTACCTTTCCCGCTAGGTAGAAATAGTGTAAGAGGATGTGGACTGATTCTTCTTACAGCTCTTGGAGGGAGCCCTGTCTACATGCCCAAAAGTACAACTAAGTTCTTAGAACTCCAGCGTTGGGATGTTTTAGCTCCTGCTTCAGGATAGCCGCTTTCTGGCACAAGAGGAACTTAAACACTAGAACAGTGATTGTTCTAGAATTGAGCACATGTTGCTGTCAAGTGTGTTAGATACATTTCCTCTCCAAACTGGAACAAAATATGGTAAAAATAAATAAATAAATCCTTCAATAGTATTTGGGTGTTATTAAGCAAACTCGGGCCTCCACACACAGTAAACAATATATAGAGAAAATGATAAACCCCAAAAGATCTCCTTGCAGTCTACAGCATGCACGTTGTGCACTGAGCTCAGTATCTCTGCAATGTGATCTGTCAGTCAGTCTGGAAGTTGGGTGTGTGAATGAGCTGCTGATTTCCTCAGGAGAAGAAAAAAGGAGTGTTTGTCCCCAGGCGAGCAGGGAGCACAGCTGGCCTCTTTTCTATTGTTTGTCCTAATTGAACTACACAGCACACAGCTAATCCCCCAACAACAGCCCTGCATCCCCAACTCCACCTCTCTGTTCTCACCATCAGCACCTTATTAGGCAATTAACTCCACCCTCAGCGGGGGGGTGGGTTCACAGCCTGCCAGATGTTGGGAGGAGAATCTCTTTTATTCTGACGGATGAATGTGTTTTTTCTTCTTCTTCTTTTTTGTCTTCTTACATGGCCTCGAGCGAGACTTTGACCATTTGGCGAATGGGACTTCTTTTCTTTCTCTGCTGCACTGAGGGAATCTGTGTTTTGCAAATTTTTTTCCTTTTACCTACAAATCAGCTTTTCTTTACATCGCTGAAAAGCTCTATTCAAAGAGCACTGAAAGGTTTGAGGGAGTATTTGTGTCCCCTGTAATGAAAAGCAACTGTCAGATGTTTAAGATGTGCATTACATATTTTAGTGTGTGCAGGGATCTTGATTTGATTGGAACTCTCTCTGTTATTCTTGTCACGATGGTTCTGGTTTTGCTTATCTTCTGGGTTTGGTTTGTGAGAATCAGACTTTCTGGCTGTAGAAAACTAAACGTGACATGATGAACCTTTCAGAAGAGGCACAGAAATGATGTGATTTTAACCAAAAATGAATGCAATGAGATGTTCTCATGTAATCCAGGATTATACAAAAGCAAGTGTCTTCCAGGACCATAATTGAATGAAACCATTAATTCCTGCAATCAGCTATGAAAACACTAAACTTTCTCTGAGCTATACCCACCACATATTCAAATCTAAACGGCGAAACAAGTTATTTTGAATTAAAAAGAGAAATAAATCTTATGGTTCCTGTTCTTCCTCTTTGTAGTCTTTTGAGCAGGATGGAGGATCGAAAGACGGCGACTGTGGACAGATCCAGAAGGTGGCCAGCGCTATCACCAGTGCGCTGTCCAAACGCCAGAACAGCACCATCATTCTGGCAGTGGTTGAGGTCAAAGTGAAGGTGGTGGTGGAGTGCCCTACTGTTGGTGAGTTACACATCGGTTCCTCTGTGAGAATTAGTCTACCGTATTTTTGTCATATTTGCTACAGCCAGCATTTTTGTTCAATTTATCACTTAAAATTGTGTTGCTCAATCACGAATCACACTGATGTTACAAAATTCTATACAATCACTCTCTGGCCTCTGATCTGCAAGAAAAAACTGAAGCGGTTCCAAATTTAGTCAAATTTAGTTATTATATTCTGTACAAAACAATAGGTACATGCTTTTTTCTTAATTTTGCCGATGGTATGATATATCTTTGTAACATCTTTAAATGCAATGATCTCCTAATATCCCATTAAACCTTCCTCTTCAGGTTACCTGGTCCCAGTTTTGTGTGTGGTCTTCAGCGTTCTCTGGATCTTCTGCATCGTTGTTTGCGTTTGGTGGACCCGCAAGAGGAAGAAAGAGCGCGAGAGAGCGGCCCGATCTGAGGAGACAACAGTCAACAACCAGCTGGAGCCGCTGCGAAGCAACGCTCTCAAGGATAACCGCGACAAAGACGTTCAGTACGAATGCAAGAAACTGATGGGCCCCTCTGACAGGACGTGCGATGGGGCCGAGGGTGAGGAGGACGGGGAGCACGAGGGGGATCAGGCGGAAGACGAGGAAAGGGCGTTGGGCATGGGAGACAAGTGTCCGCCTCAGAAGTGCACCATAACACAGGACAGGGGAATGATGGGTAAGGGAGGGATGATTTGTACAACGCGCAGCGGTCCGCTGAAGGTGCCGCACCGGACAGCGTACAGCCCCAAAGACAACCGGTGTAAAAACCTGAATGCCGCCAAACTCAGCGAGGACATTAAAGATCACTACGTGTGAACCCCACACAGGAAGAGGAGGGACCGTCTGAGTAAAAGGAAGAAACTGCGATGTCTTCAATGTCACTGACTTTTCAACTCTTAAAAGCACCAAAAGTGAAGATTACAGATGCTTTAATTTTATATTTTTTATTTGCCTCGCCTTATTTAAATTCTTCTTCTGCAGCACAGATGTTACTATAAAAAAAAAAAAAAAAAGAGGCATGAAAATTAAACATCACGGCTTCGGGATTTCTGGATTGTTACACTGTTGAAATCAAGAATTTTCTTTTCACATTTCTAGATTTTCTGTTTACACACATTTCTTTCTATTTTTTTTTTTTGCTTCACTAGAAAAAAACTAACGCTCACGTTTGTTTCTTTGAAACTTTGGAGATTTAACTGAACGTCATTGGCTGGCAGCTGTTAACGCCGTTTCTACTGCGTGGCGTGGTGCATTTGTTTCCTGTCTGCCTTAGCCCACACCTGTGGGCCTTTTCTACACTGTCTTCAAATCATGTGTTTTTATTTAAAGAAAAAAAAATACTAAAAACAAGTTTTATATATATATTTAAGTTCTTTGAAAGTTGGCACAAAGTAACCACTGTATAATGCCTGGCATGATTTTTTTTTTGTTTGTTTGTTTACAGTCATAAACATCTTAAAGGTTTATATATCATTTGAAAATAATTGGCACTACTTCCTGCAAGTCTGCATGATTATTTTTCAGCATATTGCTTTAGTAGAAAAGTGCCTTCAGCTCCTATTTTTACTTCTTTCCTTCCTCTTGTAGACTGTATGCAGATTTTAAATACACAAAAAGGGAAAGAAGTCCTAACAACAACTCGATCGCAGTAAATGCTGTTTTCTTCTTTGCATTGTACATATGTAAATATAAAAAATGGCTGTGTATATTTGAGTTTAATAACTTAAGTGATGCTTTGTATCATAGTTATTCTAAAAAATAAGATTGTTTTGTGGTTGTTTCTTTCTTTCTTTTTTTAATTATGTCATTCCGTTTATCAGTGTCTGTTGACACTACGACAGGTTTTAGACAGATTTTTCAGTGCCCGTGGTCCCACTGAGTCATGAAAACTTGTTTAAAGAGAAATTAGGTGTTGATTGTTTGTCTTTATGTTTAGAATTATTTGTTAGAGAGCTGATCCCAGACCTGCCAGCCATTGGAACAGGCTGTGAGGATCAGCTGGGTCATCAGTGCTACAGCTACAGGAACTCCATCATTAACAGTCATTTTCATCTCACTGGAGACCTCCAGAGTGAAATTTTATGAGCATTTGCAATAGTCACCTTTTATTACTTTTGATACTTTTAATTCTACAAATTCAATTTGTAGTGTATTTTCTTTTTTTTGGGGGGGGGGTCCATTTGATCTTTTTAAACTTCAGTCCCTGAATTTCATTATCACAGTGTTCAGGGCTAAGTATAAAGCCAGTCCTCCAAAAAATATATTAATATGACTGATGTTATTTTGATTTTATGCCATTTTGTATCCAGATAGGTTCTAATTTATGTATTTGCTCAGTTTTCTGTTGGACTTTTGCTAAATTATGTATTTTCTTTCATTTTCTCCACATTGGACTTGCTGTAACACACCATTGTCATTTATCACTTAATGACTCACTCATAACTGCTGATCTCTACCTTCTAATCCACATTGTTCTTTTACATTTGAAGCAATCCGAGTAGATCCAGATCTAGGTTTCTTTGTTCAGGTTTTCCTCAGTATCATCACTCAAAACGAGTAAAGCTGTTCCCGAAAGCACTTCTTAATTCATTAATGTCATACTCCCTACAGAAATGCATGTACTGACATTTGACAATCATCATTTTGGCATCACAGCAGGCAAGCAAATTGAAGAATTTTGATATTTGTCTTGTCAAAAGCAAAGGCGAAGCGCTGCATGCTATAAATGATGTGTTTCTGTTCATGTCTGGCAGAATGGAAATATAATTTCAAGTTAAGAAAGTTTTTGACTGACGGTTCTGAGGTGCTCTGCCACATGCTGCTTACGAGATTATTGGACACCAAATGGCAAAAAGGAAAACTTTGGTGAATCTTTAATCAGCACTGATGCATCTGATTTCTATTTTCAGTATGTAGAGGACGCAGGGTCCAAACAACTTAAAAGCCCCGCTGCCAGTCTCACTTGAGCCTCTTAGTATGTGAGTTACAAATTTATAGTTCTACAGTCTGCTGACAGCAGAGGTGCTGCACAGAGCAGCATGGTGTTAGCTTCAAACAACTCCACGGTAATCATCCACCCAGGGGAAGTGCTGTTTAGCAAGACACTGAAACCTCATCACAGACAGTGTGTTGTGTGAATGGGAACCTGCTTGCAATAGATGTGTCTGTATCCTAATGTACCGCCTCTCCCTGTGTGTATCTACTCTGGTCTAATGAAGGGAACAAGTTGTATTACTGTTGATGTTGTTTGACTGTTGTGGATGTTGTCCAGTCTGTTTCTGCACTAAGAACACACAGGAAGAGAAATGTTTAGTGTTACCTCCACAGCAGTTGCAGGAGGGGGTTGGGGGTCAGTTATCGTCACTGTTTGCAGATGAATATGATGATTTTTTTTTTCAATATCTTTTGTTAATGCAGATGCATTCATAGAAAACCCAAATAATTTTTCTCTCAGTAAATTTTTACTTTCTGTTAGCCCCACACGGAGGGCTGAATGTGCAGAACATTGTAATTATTTTGTACAATATTTGGTAAAAGTCTTGGTTTGTTAGTGGAATTTTTTTGTTTGTTCTTAGAACAATACTATTATTTATTAAAGTATTTTATACCAAAGTCTGTTTTGTGTTGTCATTTGTTAAAAAGCTGTCATTGGCTACTGCAAATGCCCTTATAACTGGACCTTTCACTAAGGTACTCTTGAAGCTTTCATTCACCTTCCATTCTGTAACTTGTTCATTCTAGACATTTGAATTCATCCTAAAGTTGTAAAGTGTTTCTATGTATTCATTGTAAAATTCCAAGTTCCATTTAGTTCAAATCAGCACTTTGAAAGGGAACATTTTACATTTGTATTCTAGAATTTTACTTCCTACTTAAAAACTCCAACCTCAATTCTCGAGCGTCACTTTCCAGTAAAGTTATATTCATTCGATTTTAAATCCCACACAATTACTTTTTTTAAAATCTTTTTTCCAAATTAGAACTTCTACATTTTTTTATTTTAGAATGTCACTTTCCATTCTAGAACTTCTTTCCCTCCTTGACTCAAATTGTCACTGGAACTTCAATTTTCATTCAGCAATTGTGTTTTACAGTTTGCAGTTTTTTATTTGCAGACCTAAATTTAAACCTACCGCATGTCTTTGGTGCTAATCTAGTTTTCACTAGTTTTGAGAAAAGGCGCTGTAATCAAGGAGTGTCAAGCTGACACTTCCTTCCTTTCCAAACTAAAAGTCTGTCCACTTTAGGTCACACAGAACTGCTGTATTGGGTCAATATTAGCTTTGCAAAATGTTTACAGGGAGTGTGGTTAAACTATCCTAAATGAAGTTTGTTCCATAAACTGAATTTGCTTATGTTTCATTTGTAAAGGGTTACGAAATAGGTTTAAATTGCAGGAGTTCACAATATGAGTTGTTTTACCTTTTTTACTTTCTACATTTCTAAAAAAAGAAGAAGAAAAAAGTACACATTTTTTCTGCAATATTTTCTATCCTATCTTATTTTTGTATGTAGCTTGACACCCAAAACATTTCTTTAGCCATGGAGACAATTGCCCAGCATCCCGCTCCCACTTCATTTAGCGCCAAGCCAATAAGAGAAGTCCTTTGCATGACTACATCTGCCCCTTTAATGACATGGTGGGAAATGATTAACAGTAGCCCGCTCTGCATGAAAGCCTTCCAGCAGCTGTGTTGGATATCCTTAATGCTTGGTGGGACGTTATGTGCTATGCTGTGTTCATTAACCCATCAGTTGTTTTGGGAAGAATGGGGAATGTGTCTGGAATCCTGGATGGCATAGCTTTCAGGTCACATGCACGTTCAGTGCACATTTGTGATCTTTGTGATCCCTTATCTAGAAATGTGCTATATAAATAAAACTTTACTTTACTTTACATTTGCTGACCTGCTTGGAGTGGAGCACAATGGGAGAATGAAAAATAACGGCACAGTACAAACAGCAGGAACAAGCGATAGCATTAGCAACTGGTGTCGTCCCACAATGTAGCATGTAAACAGAATTAAACTGCTTGTATCAGAGCACCGCCTTGTAATCGGAAGGTTGCCGGTTCGAGCCCCGGGCCGGACAGTCTCCGTTGTTGTGTCCTTGACACTTCACCTACCGCCTACTGGTGTTGGCCAGAAGGGCCTATGGCGCGACCCTCTGTCAGTCTGCCCCAGGGCAACTGTGGCTACAACTGTAGCTTGCCTCCACCAGTGTGTGAATGTGTGTGTGTGAAGGGGTGGATGACTGGGTGTGTAAAGCGCTTTGGGGTCCCTAGGCGGGACTACGCCTACTACGGTAGTAAAAGCGCTATACAAATACAGGCCATTTACCATTTACAGGAGCTGCCAGTAAAATCACATAATCCTCAGACAAACTTGACCTAAGAGGCCTGTTAAAATCACATTGTCCATGTTGGGAATCAGTAATTTAATGGCATCAGCAAATTCCATCTGGTGATAAAGTCCAAGGCTTGGGAAGCCAAGCGGAGCATTTGTAACTCCAGCCCATCTAGAAAGTCAGAGCAATAAAGCTTAAGAATTCACTTTATAACAGCAATGTCCTTCCTAATGAACAATATCAACACCTTCCACAATGGATTCTTCATGGATCTCAAATGATCTCAGAAAAGATACAAGTGGAAGTGCCATATGTCCCTCCAGGGGTGAAAAGAGCCAAATAACTGTCTACAAGGAAGTCAAGAACATCTACTTGTGATGTGTTTTGTTTTTAGCTCAGCTTTTTAAGCACATATGGAGGCAAAAAGTTAAGAGGGAAAACATGAACAGCTCCAAATATGTCGTCTAAGGAGCTTGGAAAGAAAAGCGTCTGGACTTCTTTAAGTTGTTTTCACCTCTCATCCGAGAAGCTTCTTCAGTTCTAGGGTCAAACGGTGGAGAGTCCCAGATTTAAGCCCTATGAGAGGGTCCCCCCAAAAGGGACAATGGACCCCTAATGATCCTCTACCTAATCACACGAGCCAAGGTGTGAAAACGGGTGTAGGTCAGCTCATTGTGAAACCTAGCCCCACCCTATCATGAGATTTCCTGAGGTCAGATGGCCCAGGATGTGAGTGAGTATTAAGGAAGGGAAGGGATCTCAGAACTGGATTGTAGATGGCAGACAGTTGGTGTCGTAAGCCACCGCCTCTGTTCAAATATGGTCGCTCACAGTGGGCATAGATTCAAATCAATTCAATTCAGTTCAGTTCAATTCAATTTTATTTATATAGCGCCAAATCACAACAAAAGTCACCTCAAGGCGCTTTGTATTGTACAGTAGATACAGAGAAAAGGCCAACAATCATATGACCCCCTATGAGCAAGCACTTTGGCGACAAGTTACAAAAAAAAGCTATAAGAATTATAAACCGATCAAACTATATAAAACCAACTAACATTTTGTTTATTAATCTGAATACCCTGAAATTTTATGATTTAGTTGAATATAAAATGGCACAGATAATGTATAAAGCACAAAATAACTTGCTTTGCCGCAGTACTCAGAAGCTGTTCAAAGTCAGAGAGAGTCAATATGACTTAAGGGGAACAGATTTCTTAAAAAGAAACAAGATAAGGACAAATATAAAGCAGAGATGTGTTTCTGTTAGAGGAGTTAACCTGTGGAATAGTTATGACAGTGATTTAAAAAGGTGTAGTTCATTTTCCTTGTTTAAAAACATGTTTAAAAATAGAGTAATAGAAAAATATAGAAATCATAAATGAAAAGAGCAAAAAGGAGAAAAAACAACCTCTTGATTCTTTTGCTTTGATGTAGTTACTTATCTAAGGTGGAAAGTTTTTTTTTCTTTGTTTTTTTTTTCTTTGTTTGTTTGGTTTTTGCTTTGTTTTATTACTTTCTTCAAGCCCTGTGTACAGGAGCTGCATACAAAAAGATATTTTGTGAAAAGGGTTGGCGTAATAAGCAAATGCTTCAGCCAATACCTTTTGATTAGCCTTGTCTCATGCTTTCTTTCTTTATGGTAGATTTTTGTTCTGTTTTCACTGTTTGTTTGTTTTGTTTTGTTTTCACTGTTTTCACTGAGATTTGAATTTGAATGTTAATCAATAAAATCAATAAATCAAAAAACTCCCTTTTAACAGGAAGAAACCTCCGGCAGAACCAGGCTCAGGGAGGGGCGGACATCTGCTGCGGCCGGTTGGGGTGAGAGAAATAGATGGCCTCTTTCCCTCCTCTTTCAAACCATCTGTCTTCTCTGTCCAAAATGTGAACATTGGCATCCTCAAAGGAGTGACCTTTGTCCTTTAGATGCAGATGAACCGCTGAGTCTTGTCCTGCCGAGGTGGCTCTTCTATGTTGTGCCATGCGTTTATGAAGTGGCTGTTTGGTCTCTCCAATGTAGAGGTCTGAGCATTCCTCGCTACACTGTACAGCATTCCAAGTATGTCAAAATCCACAAGCTTTCCTTTTGTGCAATAACACATTTTACAATAAGACAAAGCCCAACAGGCAGGCAGACATTTAGGTATTAAGAAAATCAAAGATCCAAAGTTGCTTTCCATCAGTTTTTGACAAAATAAAAAAGAAATTATATTGTTTTAGTCAAAATAATAATTTTCTTTAAGGGAAACACAAATTGCTTACATACAATCCAAGACTGGGTACAGTAGGCTGGACAGTCTATTTAGTAAGTTTAAAAAATATGAAATTTTCCAACACATTGAACAATAGAAGCATGTCTCATATATAGAGTACTGTTTAGAAATATGTACCTACATACAAAGTGCAAGAAAACATAATTAACCTCCTTTTCCATTCTTTTTAACATTACAACATGGCTATTTAAGTTGTTGCTACCAGGATGGCTAACTAACCAACTCTTCCAAGTTGGTCCCTGTCATGCTTGAAGAACTCTAACTGATGGGAGATGTGTCGTGGATTCACGGACCATTTGATGCTTGTCATCCTGGATAATTTAAACTACCAACTCAAAATCGTTTCTATGGTGATAACATTAAGACTTTGCTTTGTGCTTAACTGAAAATATATCATCCTCTGTACCTAGAAGGATGACTCAATGTGGCAGATAAGCGGCTGAAAAGAATGATGCGCGCAATGTGTAATGATTGATAAGCTGTGTTGCAGGTCGGCCAGTTGGTTTCTTGGATGCTGTTAACGGTGCATGGATGCGTAGTTTGACAGTTTGAAGCGGTTCAAAAAGTCTGGTCAGTCTGGATGCTGCACAAAAATCAAAAGAAATGTTATTATTTACTTTCACTTTCTGCAATATTAGCTTGATGATTATGCTTTTTTTTCTAGTCTTTTTTTCCTTCAGTTTAGAAAAAACAGATGTTTGCGTCTGGCAGCACGGTGGCACGGTGGTTAGCACTGTTGCCGCACAGCAAGAAGGTCCTGAGTTCAATTCCACCATCAGGCCGAAGGCTTTCTGTGTGGAGTTTGCATGTTCTCCCCGTGTTTGCGTGGGTTCCCTCCGGGTACTCTGGCTTCCTCCCACCGTCCAAAGACATGCAGCTTGTGGGGATAGGTTAATTGGATAATCCAAATTACCACTAGGTGTGAATGTGCGAATGAATGTGAGTGTGAATGGTTGTCTGTCCCTGTGTGTTGGCCCTGCG